TCTGATAAATTTTTAAAGGGTCATTGAATCCAATTCACCCCCCCCTCTTGGATTGGGCCATTCTTTTCTAACACGGGACGGGGGCAGCGTTAACGTAGATAGCAGGAGGTTTCGTTAAAACAAAGAAGTGTTATGCCCCAAAGACATCACTTGCAAAATACTACTAGGATGAAAAACCAAAAAGGGCGTCCTAAGCAAAAAAAAAAAAAAGGAGTTCCCGCTAGGATATGTCCTAGGCAAAAAATTAGGGGTATAAAAAATTAAAAATAGCAAGTGATGACTTTTCAAGTTGAAAACCAAAAGGCGGTTTGATTACTCCTGCAAAAGGCCAAAACTTTTGGAAGACTCTGCCCGAGACTCAGATATGTAGTCCAAGATAATTGGAAGAGTGATTATAATAATTATCCAAGGAAATGTTTGTTGAAAAACTTAAACACTGACCTACCTCAACCGTCCATTCATTCTAAATCATCCTTTCTTTCCTTTCTATCTTGTCCTATCCTAATGACATATTTTGTTTAGGGTAGTCAAAATTTAAACATGTCCAAGAAAAAAAAAGGAAAAAAAATGAAAATAACCCACTGGGATGAAAACCCCCAAAGGGCATCCTAGGCAAAAATTAGGGCAAAAGAAAAGAGCAAAAATACCCGCTAGGATACATCCTAGGCAAAAGTTAGGATTTCTAAAAAAAAAAAAAAGAAGAAGAAGAAAAGAGAAAGCCCCAAGACGGTTCAATACATCAAACGGCCAATACAACTAAATGTCGTGCATCAAGCAGAGTAGTTTATTCGTGAGAAGTAGAAAAGGGAAGCCACCTTCTAAAAAAAAAAATCAACATACATTGCATGCATCCAAAAGCATTTCACACACTTAGAAAACTTTCTTTATCCAAAGGGGATTATTCAAAAATAAATAAATAAATCTTGCATAAAATAAGCATTCAACATTTCTGCATCTTGACAAGAAAAGCCAAAAAAAAGGAAACACAAATTCCAATTGACAGCATCTGAACAAAACACAAAAATAGCCCAAATTAGAGGTATCACAACACACCTCCTTCCCAACATCCTTGGGGTTAACTCACAACAACCTGGGCCAAAATGACTCGTTTTGGATTGGGAACACCCCATTTTGACCTAGGGTTTCTAGGCCATTTTAAAAGTTTGGAATAACCTGTTCTAGATTGGGAACGCCCTATTCCGGGCTCCTAATTCATCCTTTTGGGTTTTTGGTCCTTTTAATGTCTTCTTGATCCATTCTAATGTTGTACTCGAGCCTTTGTGAATTCTTCGTCTTGTACTAAAGACTCATTTCCTAGTCTGCATGTCTCGGATGAAATTAGGTGTCTATACCCCTTTGTAGGCCTGGAGAGGCCATGCAAAAATACTCAATGGTTGGCAAGAATTGCTAATCCTTGCCCAGCCTGGAAAGGCTGAGCTCAAAGAATACTCACCCCCTTTGTAGGCTTGGAGAGGCCGCGTAGAAATACTCAATGGTTGGTAAGAAGTACTAATCCTTGTCCAACTTGGAGAGGCTGAGCTCAGAAAATACTCACCCTTTTGTAGGCATAGAGAGGCCGCGTAGAAATACTTAACGGTCGACAAGAACCGCTAATCCTTGTCCATCTCGTAGAGGCTAAGCTTAGAGAATAGTCACCCCTTTGTAGGCTTGGAGAGGCCGCACAAAAATACTTAACGGTTGGCAAGAACAGCTAATCCTTGTCCAACCTAGAGAGGTTGAGCTTAGAGAATACTCACCTTTTTGTAGGCTTGAAAAGGCTGCGTAGAAATACTAAATGATTGGTAAGAACCACTAATCCTTGTCCAGCCTGGAAAGGATGAACTCAGACAATACTGACCCCTTTGTAGGCCTATAGAGGCCGCATAGAAATACTCAACAGTCAGCAAGAACCACTAATCCTTGGCCTTCTTGGAGAGGCTATGCTTAGAGAATACTCACCCCTTTATAGGCTTGGAGAGGCTGAGCTTAGAGAATACTCATCCCTTTGTAGGCCTAGAGAAGTTGGGTAGAAATATTCAATAGTCTGCAAGAACCACTAATCCTTGTCCAGCCTGGAAAGGCTGAACTCCGAGAATACTCACCCCTTTGTAGGCCTAGAGAGGCTGTGTAGAAATACTTAATGGTCAACAAGAACCGCTAATACTTGTCTAGCCTAGAGAGGCTAAGCTCAAAGAATACTCACCCCTTGTAGGCCTGGAAAGACTGCATAGAAATACTCAACATCCCAAGTGAGCTTGGAGAAGCTCGATAAAGATGAACTCAAATTGCTGAAGCTGCAATACATCAGCAAATATTGTCGAGCAATAATATCCATATCTAGCTTGGAGATGATTGTACAAAACACTCAACCTTTAGAGGATCTGCTAGCGTCAAAAATCTGAAGACCCAGACAGATATATATCTACATCTTTACTTTCCTCTGGAATGGAAAGTGCAGGGTCTTTGCTATTCGAAAGACAAGTAAAGAAGGGTAGTTGTAGACACTAGTTTCTATCCAGGATGAGAATTCGAAGATGGGAAGCTTCTAAAGCGAGAGAAGTGACCCTTAGAGGACCCTGAAGACTCTAGAACACTTCAGGAAGGATCATGAGGTCTCCAGGAGACATTCCAAATGAAGAATGGTTGTTTTGCGCCCTTGAGCCGTATTTAAGCATTAATACACCTCAAGATGAAGGCACTTTTCATTTTATCTTCCCCCTTAACTCTTTTTAGAAGCACTTTGAGTAAATAAACTCATTGAGAGCCTAATTAAGAGATCTCTGGTCCCTTTGGCAGAGATTTCAAAGTTTTTGTAGTCTAAATTCCAAGAGAAAGTGAGGTTCTTGTAGAGTGAGGAGGTCGCCAAAAAGCACCTTCAACCTTTGTTTATAAAGCTTGCTTTAGAGGTTCCAACTTCTTTCTTTCTCTATTTATCGCTTTATTTATTGTTTTAATTGAATAATAAACATCATGTAGATAGTTCATTTCCATATATGCTTAATTATGGGGTAAAAATGTTAATATTTACTTTGTTTTGTTAATGAATACATCATAGGATACTAATTCTAGGCGATGTGGGGTGCCTAATACCTTCTCCACGTGTAACCGACGCCGTACTCAACTTTGTTTGCGAAAACCTCTTTTTCCGATGTTTTAAGCAAAATATTAGTGGCGACTCCAAGAACCTTTTAAAAACCCATTGATGGAGATTTAGTCTAGTCATCGAGCATTCCAATGTTGATGAGATTTTCAACAATGAAAGTCAATAAACCATCCAAACCTAAAGATGCATAAAGTTTTTAGGGCCGGGTTCTAACACTCATCATTAACACTCATGCTTGTTAGGCGACTTAAAAATCGTTGGGAGAGAAAGTTGTTTTTGGGTTTTCAACCTTCAGTTTGAAGGCTCACCTGGCGAGCAAAACCTTTTGCTAGGTGAGAATACGTTGCATCTCTTAGTGCATGCATCCTCCTAGGTCATCCGAGCACCCAAAACAACATACAATTCATCAATCTTTTTCCTAAACAACTTATTCAACACAAATCATCTTAGTAACAACTTACGCAACAACAATTTGGGCATAAAATCATCAATACAAGATATCACCCAAAACCCTCAAAAACTCTTCCTAAACAACTAATTAATTCCAATAAATCATTCATTAATTCAACATTGAGTGACAAGACCTACACTTATACAATCTATATAAGCTATAATCAAGTTTCCCTTACCTCAATCGAGCCCTTAGATAAAAAAGTTAAGGTAGAAGAAAACTTCCTCTGTAACTCTCACTAGAGCTCTCTCGGATTTGATCATTAAGAATTCCAACTCTATAATCCTCCTTTAGCTTCAAGACCCACTAATCTCTAGCTTTAGGATAGATCCACAACCTTAGAGTAACTTAGAAGCTTGAACAACTACTTGAAGTTCCTAAAGACTTTCTTTCTAACTTCTTTCTAGAATTCTTGAGTTATGAACTTATGAAGTTCACTTCTAAAATTTCACCTTATACATTTCAACCGTCCACGGGACAACTCTTACACACTTGAATTATATCTTCTATAACTTAGGCACGAGGTCATCTCAAGTCAAACCCTTACCCCAACACAAGCAAAACATAAATAAATAATAGTCACACTTGAATTATGTTTTTGCACATTATCAATTTTAATAAATTTTGCTTGTTTTATTAAATATTTAACCATATAATTAATTAACGAATTAGTCAATATTAATTTTTAATTAATTAATGTGTTTCTTATGTAACTAAATATACAATTAATAAATTAAATATACAAAATAGAAAAGGAAAACAAAAAAAATATAAAAATTTCCTTTTTAGAAGTTGAGTTTAGGCAACATGACTTCTTTATTGGTATGAAAAAAATAGGAAAAAATTTAGGTACAATTCTTTAAGTGCAGTTGGTATTATTCTCTAATTAGAGTTAAAATTTTACATTTAAAGTGTATAAATATATATTAATGAAACTTACATTATATGCAAGTGCTTAATACCCCGACTTTAATAGGCGAATAATACCAACCACACTTAAAATAATTGTAAATAAGTTTTGTAAAAAAAAAAACTTTTTGATCCTTATTATAAAATATAATTTAGAAAAAAAATAATAGTTATTTATATAAGATATTTTACAATACCTATAAAGTATTGAATATGTTTTATGATACAAACATAAAATAAATTTTTAGAATTTTTTTATTAAAATAAATCTTTATTTTCGATTAAAAAAAATTCAAAAACTCTTCTAAACTTATATTTAAGTTACTCTAATTTTATTTTTCAAATTAAAAATTATAATCATTTGTATTTCTCGTCGTTGAAAAATAAGAAGAGAATTTAAAAAATAAATATTTTTTATTTAGCTCTTTTCACATTAAAAAAAAAGTGATATCGAGGAAAATAATATTGGATTGATCTTTGAAAAAATAATTTTACAGAAATTATTGGAATAAAAGAATGGTTACTAAGAAGGAAAGGACGGAAGAAGTAAGAAAGGTGTCGCAAAGGTCAGGTGAGGTCGCACATTGGATTAACTACCTACATATCAAAGCCGGATCTTCACTTCCGCACCCTAAGGCCTCTCTTTTTCTTCACTCTTCCTCACACCCAACGCCACCTTCCATGGAGGCGCAACCCACTCCTCCGCCGCCACATCAGCCGAACTACCCCGACTCGGTGGACTCCTCCCCGCGGTCCTCCTGGGACGAGCCCTCCCCTTCTCCGGGCAGCGGCAAGCTCCGGCTGATGTGCAGCTACGGCGGGCACATCGTCCCCCGCCCCCACGACAGGTCCCTCTGCTACGTGGGCGGCGACACCCGCATCGTGGTGGTCCCCCGGCACACCTCCCTCGCGGAGCTCTCCACGCGCCTCTCCAAGTCCTTGAACCACGCGCGCCCCTTCGCCCTCAAGTACCAGCTCCCCAGCGAGGACCTCGACTCCCTCGTCTCCCTCACCACCGACGAGGACCTCGACAACATGATCGACGAGTTCGAGAACTCCCCTCTCAAGCCTTCGCGAATTCGCCTCTTCCTCTTCCCGGCCCAGCCCCACCTCCCCTTGGGCCTGGGCCTGGGCCTCGGCCTCGGCCTGGCCTCCGCCAAGTCCGAGGAGTGGCTCAGCGGCTCCCTCGACGGGGGCCTGTCGGAGTCCGCTTCCGTCAACTGCCTCCTCGGACTCGACGACGAGGCCGCTGCCGCGAACAACAGCGGGAAACTTCCGAAGGAGGCGACCGTGACGGTGACGGTGACGGAGACTAATTCTTCCTTCGGCTCTGCTTCCTCCGTGGCGAATTTGCCCCCGATTAAGGTCCGCGTGGAGGACGGCGTTAAGGTTCCGCAGGATCAGAGGGTTGCGGGCGTTGAGGAACAGTTTGCGCAGTTGGGTGTGGGACAGAAGCAAGAAGAGGGGTTTGTTGCGGTTGTCTCCGATGACGACAGATCCGATCATGGGGTCCCTCTGGGCTTTAGAAAACCGCCAACCCCACTGCCTCAGCCTCAGCCTCAGCCTCCTCAATTTCAACAGAAATCGGCTGGTGCTGTTGATTTTCCTTCGCCGGAATCACTTTCAAGGTATCTTCAACTTCAAGTTTCCTCTATGTGGTTTGGCAGGTTCTTTTATCTCAATAAAATTAGATTGGATTCAATTCAATGGGACATTTGTAGAGTAAGAGTAAGGTAAACTAAGTTTATGTTAGAATAAACTTCTCTAAAAACTCTTTCTAGAAGAGGGAAATGCAAAGAAAATTGAAACAAGTTTCTCTTTGAAGTTAAAATTAGTTTATGCATGAATTAAAAATAAAATTTTGAATAAGTTAATAGAAGAAAGCTTAAAAAATTAGATTTATAGACTAATTTTAGCATATGAAAAGTTTTATTATTTTTCTCTCCTAAAGGACAGACTTTTGGAGAAGTTTATTCAAATAGAATGTAGCTAATTTAGTCATATATATATATATTAATTATGCATAAGTACACAATATAACCGATCGCTGATATTACTGATTTTATCCTCTAAAGTTACTCCAATTCATTAAGGTTTTTTAGTTTAGATTTGATGGTCATGGTATGATATATGGTTTGGTTGTATTTCTGGGTTTATTTTTTCTCCCCCTCGAATTAGGTACTTGAAGAATGATTGATTTGTATTGTATGGTATGCTATTCTGCAGTGATAGTAGTCTTTCAAATGCAATGTCACGCACAAATCCAGCCATCTATCAAGACCAGGCTCAAATTCAATCTGGAAATTCTCAGGTTCTTAATAATACCATGGTTGATCCGAAGCTTAATGCGACTGATCCACAAGGTCGGATTCAGATGCAGCAGCATGTACAGGAACATGGATATGTTTTGCAGCCGCAATTTGATCAACAGCCACCACAACTGCAGCAGTCTCAACAGCCGCAGCAGTATATGCACGGCACACATTTAATTCACCATACCCCGGCAGGGCCTGTGTCAATCCCTGCTTCATACTATCCTGTATATCAGCAACAGCTCCATCACCTTGATCAGCAATACCCAGTTTACTATGTGCAGCCAAGGCAGGCCCAAGCATACAACTTGTCAGTGCAGCCGTCTAATGTAGCTGAATCTGCCACAACTGTCGCTTCTAGCCAATCCCAAAATCTGCCAAATTCTGCTGCTTACAACCCAATGAGGAATGTTCCCTTGCCTAGCTCCGAAGTGACTGCAGGCGCATACAGAAGGACACCTGCCACTCCTCAATTAGTTCAAGTTCCTCATACTAAGCATCATCAGCAATATGTTGCTTACTCACAAATTCATCATCCTCAATCGGTTCCCCCTAATTCTGCAGTACCTGCTACTTATGCTTATGACTATGCGGATCCTGCTTATGCTCAAGTATTTTATACTCAACCTATGGCACCCTCCATGCCTTCACAGTACCAGACCATGACAGCTGCTGCTGCAGTGTTGCCGGAAGGTTCTACTCAGCTTCCCTCGGATGGCTTGAAGCAGCAGGTGAGAACCTCACAGCCATTGTGAAAAGAAAACGAAAAGATACAGTTTTGAAGAAATGTGCTTGGTTTAGCCTATAATTTTTCTACCATAGCTCTTAGTTCTTGGTGGTACCAGTTTGTGCCATGTATTTCTGATAGATAATAAAGAAACTGCGATACACTTTTTCGTACCTTTATTTCATAATTCGTAGTAAAGGAAAGTGGTCCAGGTGGTCGGTTATACTGTATAAGTTCAAAGTTTCAACTTTTTACTGTGAAGTTCAAACATTTGTTGTTGAAATGGTTGTCATGTATATTATAGCTGGCATTTTTTTGGCTCTGACATGTGATTGTTTCTTTAAGAAAACAACCTTAATCAAAACTTTTCATATTGACAACTGCAGTAGATGTGACCGTTTGAAGTCTACGCTTGTATTTTGTCGCATTTATGACCTCGACAAACATGATTGCACTTTTCATTGATTTTATTTCCTTTCCCCGGAAACAACACGGTATTTTCTGCTAATTGACGCGGTTTCATTGCATACGACCGAACAAATTTGATGCCATGTTTGAGTTTGATTGTCTTAGACACACCTTTTAAATTATCAAGAAGGAAAGTCTTAAACGTGATTCATAAAAAATGCTTACTCTCGTTCGTTTCAATAATATTGTTGATCATTTGTGATGATCCCCTAAGCACACTACCATCTAAATAGAGAGATGTCAAGTGGATTATCACTGATACAGAGGGTGTAAATGTAATTTGCATTTTACCATATTAATCCAAAACGAGCTTGATATAATTCCTTTTGGAGTGCTTAACTGTTATGCGAGCTTTTTGTGGCACATCAGTAATCAAACGGTTTAAGATGCATATAAAAAGTTTGGTTGGTACTTGGGGAAAAATGACGAAAAATTTGACCAAGACAACAATAACAATGATAAACAAAAGGGATGATGTGTAACCAAAAGACAAAACCGAAAGAGATGATGAGAGGGAAATTTTAACGTACGGTATAGTGTGCTTTAAGAATAAAAAACTATAATATAACCTGCATTGCAAAACGCTGGTTAAGTAGATATGATTCGGTGTTTTATTGTCTCCTTGTTTGGATATGCATTGGGGTGTGGGAGACGTACATAACAGAAGCAGCTAATACTTGTTTCTACGTCTTTTTTCTAAAGTTGACGTGAATCTCAAGTAAAACCATGGATTATATTATAAATGTACCCATTCAAACACGTATTGGATAAAAATTGTGTGTTTGAATTATAATTAAAAAGTTAAGTTGAATTCAACTTAATTTTTTAAATAATCTTTTAAATAAAAGTAATATTCTTCAAGTTTGTTTCTTTATAATTTATATTCAATGGAAAAGAAAAATATTTTGCCAAACATACAGTTATTGTTTTCGAGACCAATTAACTGAGATTACGAATTTCAAATGTCTAATTAAACATAACCAATTAGTTAGGATAAAATTTTGTATATTGCATTTGAAATGTTTTGAAAATTAAATTACTTCAATAATTAATTATATGAATGACTAATTAATTTTATAATTTATTTTAATCAAAAAGATTTTATTTGGAAAAGTTTGCTGAGAAACAATTTTAAGATGTTTAATTTTGTTTGAATAAAAAAAGTTTTTATATATTAGATTAATTTGAAAGAGAAAAAATTCAATAAGGTTGTTGGGGCTACTCGAAAGCCATATCACTCGAAAGTTACATTTTGAATCTACTCGAAAGAAGGACAAATAAATAGGTACCTACCAAAAGAAAGGATTACAAGCCTTGAACGTACAAACTCGAGAATAGGTCGAAAAATGAAAGAAGCGGAAAGTCCTTTGTGTAGTTAAGCAGTTACATTAAGGTAGTTACCTAAACTTGGTAGAAGAAACAAGGAACGTGGAGGAGACAGTTATTGAGAAGTTACCTTAATTCCACGAAATCGGTGTAGTGGTCAGCGGTTACACACTCATGACTCATCAATACGTGATTAACCGCTCTCAAGTAAAATCTATAAATATGAGAATCATACCCCTCAGAAAAGGTCAGAAATTTCATACTTGCACTCTTGAAAGCACTCTCTGTCTGCGCATATGGCTTCCGTGCATGCAATTGCTGGGTATTGATTTCTTGACCAAAATCATTTTTTCCTCTTTCTAGGATTAGTGTAGTTTTTCTTTAATTCTGTAGTTCGTAAGTTGTTTAATTCTAATATTGTAATATGTAAACTCAACAATGATTTGTATTGTCAATGTATTTGTTGCCCATTCTGTTCAATTAAGTATTTATGTGCATGCAAATTATTACTTGATTATTATTCATGAAAATCTGGAAACAAGCGTGTGTTAGGCAATTCTGTCTAATCTATTTCAATTCTTAAGCAAGTTCAAAGAATTATAATACCTAAATTGAAACGTTCTCGTGCTAGTTCGAATAAAAAGAATCCATAAACTAATTCCACCGTAAACAAATTGGAACGCCCGGTGGGACACGTTAAGAACATAATTGGACTAGTTTTAGGTATGTTGTATGAGACTTAGGAGTGGAAGAACCATGTCTACGTCTAGTAACAGGAGAGAAATAAACAATGATAATCAAGTAGATGTAGAACACGGAAATCCCAACCCTGATAACGTGACTAATGTGACAAGGGGGGCAACATCTCCCCCTGTTGTGCTCGAAAATGTGGCTAGGCAAACAAATGTGTCCCAAGATTTCGCAAATGCCACTAGAAAATATCCATGGGGTATGCCGCCAAATTGGCGAACTACTCAACCTGTACATGTCGAAATGCCAGTGCCTTATTTGGGACCAAATCCACAAATGCATGTATCCCCACAGGGATATAATCCCGGGCCAAATGGTTTGGGTTTTTTCATGCAAGACCCATATCAACATGTGGGGACAAGTCATGAGGGGTCTATGGTTCGACAGAGTAGTTATGTCCCTACAGGTATCAGTAATCAAGCCATGATGGCTCTTCAACAATAGATGGACCATAGTAACCATGATATGGTTAATTTGTTGTCGACTCAGATGCACAACATAATGACTCCTTTGTATGAATTGATAAATAAAATTGGAGACAAATTGGGAGATAGGCCACCTTCGAGAGCCATGAGTGCGAATTTGAACGATATGGAAAATCTAGGTGGGAATGTAGTTTTTCCCCATAATTTAGGACGACCTCATAGGAACCCTGATGATAACCTAGATCAAATTGTAGAAAGGGTACTAAACAGACATGGTTTCGAGGTAGGTCAAAATGAACGCCCCTATTTTGTGTCTGCTTTTCCAGAATATATAACTCAGGTATAACTGCCTACGGGGGCAAAACTCCCAAAATTTTCAAAATTTGCGGGAGAACTGAATGAGTCTACTGTCGAGCATATAACTAGATACTTAGTCGAATGTGGGGATTTAGCGAGCAGTGAATATTTAAAAATGAAGTATTTTTCGAGTTCGCTGACTAAGCATGCTTTTACATGGTTCACAACATTGCCTCCTAATTCGATAAACACTTGGGCTCAATTGGAAGGTAACTTTCATGAACATTTTTTTCGAGGAGAAACCAAAGTCAGTATAGTCGATTTAATGAATGTTAATTGACAAAATCAGGAAAGTTAGACGACTATTTGAATAGGTTCAGACAATTAAAATCTCGATGTTATACTAATATACCTGAATATGAATTAGTTAAGATTGTTGCAACAGGGTTAGATTTCTCAATACGTAAAAAATTGGTAAATGAACAGTTAAGAGATATGGCCCAATTAGAAAAGAAAGTAAGGAGAATTGAGAAAATTAAATTAGAAAAGGAAAGATTAAGGAAGTTTGACAGATTTGTTCGAAAAGAAAAGGTAGCTTATTTAGAAAACACAGAGATAGGTGATGATGTTAATTGTGAGGGTTCGAGTGAGGATTTTGAAGTTAATATTGCTGAATTACGTCCTGACCCTACCTATTAATGTCAAATGTTGAAACCAGGAGATAATGTGGAAGGGAATCCAACTAGGCGATATAGTTTCGATGTGACTAAAGCTGATAAAATATTTGATATTTTGTTAAAAGACAATCAAATTGCACTCCCAGATAACCATAAAATTCCTCCATTCGAACAAAGAAAAGAGAAGAAATTTTGTAAATATCATAATATGTATGGTCATTGGACTAATAATTGTGTGCGTTTCAAGGATATGATCGAGAAAGAAATCACTAATGGTCGTCTGGCTTTCGAGGAAAAGGATATGAAAGTGGACACTGATCCATTTGCAACTCATACTGGATATGTGGAGCCAGTCTCGATGGGAATTAATATGGTTGAAGTCAACATCGAGGAGGATGAGAATGTTGAGCCTATTTCTGATGAAAAACTCGAGAAATTGTTGGATGACTTTGCTAAAGAGAAGGAACCTATCTATCCAAAAGAGGGTGATAGTTTGGTCGAGTTCTTATCAAAGAAAAATGATGCTGATAGGGAAGTCATGCTATGTCTTCGATGCAGTGCTGTATTCGACGGAGCTGCTGCTAAGGCCTTCGAGGAATCAGAGGTCATGAAAAGCTACAAAGCTCAGAAACTTCGAGAAAAGGCCAAATCTAACACTGGGTTGAACACTTGGTTGACCATGAGGCAGGTACATATGCCTCATTATAATGCTCCAATGGGAAAGATGGAGATGCATAACTCATCAAAGTTTGGCAATACTTTTGTGCCAAATGATAATGTCCCAGTAGGAAAGTGGAATGCTCCACCAAGGCAAATGGTTGGAATGGGTCGAGGAAAGCAAGTCATGAATTATGTTGGTCCTACATTCCAAGGAATTCCCGAAAAATTCTCGAATGTGTCTGGAGCTCCTGGCAAATTCTCGAGCATGTCTGGAAGCTATGGGCGTGGCTTTCGACAACCTTTCAACAACCTGACAAAGACTCAGTGGAGGAGGCAGCAGAGAATGAGGAAGGCTACATTTGAAGGTTTCAGAGAAAACCATTTTTCGATCCTAGTGCCACAAAAGGGTGAATCATCTTAGAAATTCATGGAAGATGATGAGGATTTGATAACTGATTGTTTCGAGAGTGGTTTTGATGATTCTTTGGAAGACATTTGTGGGATAGTGTCAATTATGTCTTCTGAGTATGCTGGAGCCATGGAATCTGTTAATGAGCAAGAGGATATCCATCGAGAGGATTTTTTCGATGATCCTAACTATGAGTCAAAAATTGTGTGGGTCAACCAAATTTCTCGAGTTATTCCCAAGTTTAACTCAGTTGTGTTCGAATCCCCTACTGAAGATATGAAGGCTCATCTTAAGCCTTTACTGTTAACTTTGA